TTCCTATCGCATATAAAGTGCTATCCAGTGTACTGTGTGAACGACTGAAGTCAATGGTCAATTACATTATTGGATCATACGAATGCGGCTTCAGGCCTGGTAAATCCACTATTGACCAGATTTTCACTCTACACCAGATGCTGTAAACAACCCACGAAAAACACATAGACACATTCGTTGACTATAGAGCCGCATTCGAAAGCCCTATCCGTTCAGAGGTGTTTAAAGCCATGTCTACGTTTGGCATTCATGCAAAATTAATACGGCTATGCAGGATAACATTAACTGGTGCAAGGTCAGCAGTTAAAGTCGGAAAGGACCTCTCGGAGCCCTTCAATGATTCACATCCTGCTGGAAAAGGTCGTATGACCAAAGGTGAACAGACAATCTTGTGGCAGCTCAGACAATCAGATGAGACAGCTCTTGGAGTGTTTGAGTAAAAATTCTCCGAGAGATCTATGAGCCGATTTGCGTCGACGGTGAATACCGCCGACGAATAAAACATGAATTGTACCATATATTTTCGGGCAACTAAATAGTCAATCGTATCGAGCTATAGTGACTACTTTAGCTAGGTCATGTTGTGAGAATGGATGAGGATGCCCCAGCTCAAAAGGCATTTAAAAGCGAGCCAACTGATGGATCACATAGATGGGGACTACCACGAATTCGATGGAAACATCAACTAGAAGACCACATCAAATTGGAAAAACCGACTCGCCTGGAAATATTTTTAAACTCGGCTTAAGGAACAAATGTTCTGTCACAAGCCAGCTAAGTAAAGTATGTAAGCACATAAATAAAAATAAAATTTAAATAATAACACATATGACGCATTTCCTGAATTTTACAGAATTTTTTGTGTTGTCCTACAATGATACCTCCCATTCAAAAAAAAACTTGGGTTATGTAGGTCCGGAACATTACATTAAATTAATCAAAAAATCGTATAATCCGACCTCTAAATTCGTATAATCGTAAACTGATTTTAGAGACAGGCCTCTAACACTTATATAGAGACATTTTTCTACCCCGTCAGGTTCTACTTCGATCTAGGTTTCGTTTAAGCATGACAACCATGCTTCTGGAAGGAGTAGACCGATAGTTTCCTTTTATAAAGTTTTTTTGCCTCAAAGTCAATTTCATTTGTCATTTACAGCTTCAACATTTATTCTTATAGCTGAGAATCATTCTAAATTGCGGTTTTTGAGTTCTTCTCAATATTAAATCATCAGCCAATATTAGATTGCATGGAATTTCTTTGAGATTCTATAATTACGACAATAAATGAAATTGAATTACAAACCGCATTCTATATAAATAATAATGTTGTTCATCGTTCATCGATTGTTCATAAACAAACAAATTATTAATTAACTCACAAAATATTGTTGTTACAATTTAACCACAAAAAATAATATATATTTTTTTTAATTTGTGAAAAATAAGAGATTTGCTTCGGACAATGTGTCCCAAAGAAATAATGAGTTTACAATCCCCACGTAGCTATGGAGTCGATAATAATTTGCTTTATATAAGGTATATGTTTTTATCAAAGAGTAGACCACCTGTGGGGAGATACCAGAAGAGGTTGCCCTATGGACCACCCTATTTTCAGATTTAATGTAGGTTTGGTAAAATATTACGATGTGCAAACAATGAATCAAATCGTTTTAAATCGATGTGATCGCTACATAATTTTACATTTCAGTGCACTCATGTGAATTATTAAATGCAATAATTCCAAAAAACTCTATGGAGAGGGACGGTTAATATGTTCGACTTCCACCATCGAATAGGGATGCTTGGGTAAGTCGAAGTATAAGTAGAGACGTGAAGCTTTAACCGTAGTCGTACAAACTTGAACCGAAATCAACAACAGTCTTCGGCGGCCCGTTCGCTTCCAGCGATTCAATCGCTCATGCCGTTCACCAACTTCAATCGACGGGATCCCAGAAGTCCACACACCTACCTTTACAGCAGATAATATCGCTTTATATTACATTAAATTTAAGAATAAAAAATTGAAACGTAACAACTCGTTATTTTAGTAAGGTACGTGGGTCCTTAAGTCGACCCGCTGAGATTATGCATCTTTGAACTTTATTTGAGTTTGAAAGAAATGTTACGATGTACACAGTTCGACAGACATGCCATTTACCTAATATTGGATTTAAAAAATATTGAAAAAGTTTACCCTTTTTTGGGAAGATACAAGAAGAAGGGAACCAATGGGTCCCACCTTCGGACTCGATGTTTGCCTGGTAAAGATGATAGGTTTTGCAATGTTTGGTTCAAGTCGGACAGTCCGTTCGCATGATATTCTAAAATTAATTTTGACCATTTTGTGGGTAGGAGGTACTAGAAGGAGTGGATCGTATTCCCCATTTTCGAACTTGATTTAAGCTTTGACAAAATTTTACGATAAAAAGTTTGGATGAAATCGATAACTTCTTTCGGGAGTTATCGTGTGCACCAGCCAGACAGATAGACGAACGGACGAACATTTTTAAATCGACTAGAAATTGCATGAAACTGATTTGATCCAAAGAAACATGGGGTCCAAAACTAATATTTCGATGAAGTACTAAATAATGGTAACCCCCATATACAGTATTTTGGTAATTATGAACACGATTTTTAAAATTTGGGACTTTTTCTTGCGGAAATCTTTCGGAGATATGGTACTGCTCGGACCCATGTGTTTTCTCATTTGAAGTCCTGATTGGAATTTTATTTCTTTAACGAAGAAGTCCATACTTCCTGAGATGCGGGTATCTATTATCATTGAAATTGTCTTTATTAGAGACTTTTTATATAGAGATTCCCTACCGAAGGACCAATACCTAAGGTAATTACATTTTAGTAACTTACATTTCTGCCTCTTTTTATTGATACCCATATTGTTTTTAAGAATTTTGGGATTTTGGGCCCATATCTCAGGAAGTATGAACTTCGTCGATAAGATTTTTTCAAAAAGAAAATTTAGTAATTCAAGACGTGCCCTCTGTGTCTTGAACTTGAATATATCAAAATTTGTGTCTTTTTTCGAAGTTAATATAATTTTAATCAACTATTTTTTTTCTAAGAAAATTTGATTCGGTTTTTTTCTATTTTACATATAGTACAAAATATATAGGTTTAGGGGTTTTTTTAAGGAAAAAAATATTTTAATATTAAAGAAAAACATTTTTTCTAAGCTAATTTTTTCTTTCCTTTCGAAATATTATTTTTTTCTATTTTTCAAAATTATAGTACAAAATCTGTAGGTTAAAAAAAAAAGCAAAACATATTTTTTTACACCTCTGTTATAAATTTAAAAAAATATATTTTTTCCAAGCTTAACGGCAGACGTAGATTTTTTAAACATTTGTTTTGAAACTATGCCATGGGTGTAGATTTTTAAAAAAATACTGTATGTTTTGGCTTAAGTTGAGATTTAAGGAACCCGGTGATAGAAAGAGTACATGTCTGGCTCTCGTATGAACTAGGATTATTGACTTCGCACAACAATTAACAACAATTAATTTGACCACAAACTAAGTTAAAAAATAAAGAAGATCTTCATTGATTTGGCTTTGGCCTAGTTCATACGAGAGCTATACACCCCCAGAAAAACGTGTCAAAATTTGGAATCGATTGGATTATTCGTTTTTGAGTTATCGTGTCCACCATTCCTAAAACACTGCTTCGAGAAAAATGCGTTTAAAGTTTGAGAAGCCCTCTTGCTGTCACCTGATGCTAAGACAAAAAACCGACTATATCTTCAAAAATTTTTGAGATTTTCACTTGTAAAATTTATAGAGACATTCTTGTATTAGTGTAGGTTCAAATTAAAAATTAGACACCGAGAATGGGGGGTCCCCTTAAAGGCTCATTTCTCCCTAATAACGAAAATATTACCTTCATCGATTCATAAATGATGAAGTTATGAGCATAGGAAAGTCATATAGTTTCGTAATCAGGAAGACGATACCTAATTGTGGTAATCTCATAAAAATCCGAGATGATTTTTTAAGCAAAGCCTCGGCCACATGTTTGTTTTTTATTTTTTTAACTAAGCCGGAGTTTAGTTCTGTAGTTCTTCAGTCATTTTTTTTTTCAAACATTATTTGTTCATTTTTTCCAAATTTTCATTCTCTTTTATTTGTTTTAATTGAAAATGTGTTTTTATTTTGCAAAACTAAAAAAATTTTTAAAAAATGCCTATAGTGGAAAATGTGTTATAATTACCTTAATATACGTTTTATTTTCAATATTCCATTTATCTATTCAATGTTGGGTGGGTGATTGGTTGACAGTTTGTTTGATTTACTCCCCTGTAATACTCCAATTTCTGTTGTTTATTTACTGGGATGGGATTTTTTGTTGTTGTTTCACTTGTTTTACAATAAACAATGGTAATTCTAGAAATTGTAGATAGTATTCTAGTTTCGATTTTTTTTGATTATATTTTGTTTTTGTTAATTTCTTTTCGATTTGTTGTTTGTTTGTTTTTTTTTTTCGATTTTATTTTTCAATTTCAATTCATATGCAAACGAGTGTAACCGATGTACATAATGTTGTAATATAACTCTCTCTATTTATGGATGATTACAAAAAGCACACACACATCCATACACAACAATAAAGCACTTGTTGTTGCTGTTAAAGCACCACTAACTTCCGGTTATAGGTAGGTTGGGGGTTTGTTTCAAAAACAAAATTTTACCAAATCAAAAGGTTATCCCAACAACTTAAAACTCTTTTGTTGCCCAAGAGCGTTCACAATTCATCCAACAACAAAATAAATAAAACAAAAACAACTCAACACAACACAACACACCAAATTATGCACAGACTCACTCTAGTTATGTTTCGTAGTTACAAAGATTCACACATGCCGCCAACATTAACGAAAATACATATGTTTATGTTTGTATGTATAGTTATGTACCTATATATCGTTTTATGTAAAAGTATCTCACATTTGTGGTTTTACATGAACTTTATTTTTGTTTTCTTATTTTGTTATTCACTTCTATTTATTTGTTGGCTTTTTTGCTGTTATTTTTTTTTTTTGTTAACAACAGCGGTACACTCACACAATTACAGAGCACTAGTTATTTTTTGTTGTTGTTTGCTTGTTTTTGCCTTTAACGTTGTTATTGCTATTAAGTTCATATGATTTTGTTGCTTTGGTTTGGTCATGTCACCACAACTTAACTCTTCTTGTTTGATTTTGTTTTGGGGTTTTGTGTTCTCCCCTTTGGTTTTTGTTGTTGTTGTTATTGTTACTCCACTACACTGAGTTTTGTTTTAAATCTGCCATGCAGAATATTATTTTTATTATTGTTGCTGTTGTTGTTTGTTTATTACTGGGAAAAAATCCCATAGAACCACAATTCACCAACTCCACTACCTTCACTTATACCAATTGGCTGCTCCCACTAAATAATGTTATTTGCCACTTGCAACTCCACTCTGCAACACTGGGAGTGCATCACAACAATTCTTTTGTTTTGTTTTTATTGGAGCGGTTCCGTTTTCAATAACCGTTTTCCGTCGCGTTTTTTGTGTTTGTTTTTCTTTTTATAATATTGTTTTGTTTTATTTTCAATTGTTTTTTCTTTAGTTATTTATTGTTTTTTTGGTTTTCTTTTTCTTCCACTTCCACTGTATTTAATGCGCATTTCACGTGTGCACGTGTCGATAGTCGTTTTCTAACTAAACCCCACAAAAAGGTAAGTTTGCCAGTTATGCTATGCTCGGATGGCTTAGCGTGGTTTTATATTTGCCGGGATCGGGATCGGTGTTGAGAGTTTCTCTCTCTCTCAGTGGTAAATTGTGAATTGTGTTGGAAAACATTACCACAGGTAGAAACAAAAAAGTACGAAAATGTACCTTAAATTCTACTTCAAATGATAATAAATTATAATTATCGAGAAATATTGGCCAATATTTATACCAGTTATTTGCATAAATAACATATGTTATAATTTAAGCGTAAATGTATTCAAGAATAATAAAAAATCGAATTTTTGTTTTGGTACGTTTATGTCAATTCGTACCTTTTGTTAACAAAAAGTACGCTTGTTACAAAATTAAAAATAGCGCAACTCTAATTACTCTCTCTCGAGAGAGAAACTCTCAACACCGATCCCGATCCCGACAAATATAAAACCACGCTTAAATTACAAGAGACAGCCAACCAACGAACGAACGAACTACCTTGTGTGGGGAGAGTGACTACACACCATGTCGAGAGAGCCTAACACAAGTGGGAGCAGTAGTTTTGCAAGCACCAACAAGCACAGCACGGTGGTTGTTTACATTTCTTGTGGGGAGCTCGGCAGAAACAAACACACAAACACTTGTTGAGCAGATGCTCTCTCTTTTTCGCTCTCTCCCACTGGATTTATTTCACCATTCTTGTAATGGTGAAATGTGTGGTATTTTTGTTTTTATTTTCTGTGTGTGTGGGGATCTAAGCAGAGACACACACACTATGTCATGATTTGTTTACAATTCCCAACAATAGATGGGGTTAGTGTGACATGACTGTTTTCCCAAGGAATTTTAAGGCATTCCCAATAAAAAGAGAAAAGAACTGCAATGTATAGATAACGCATAGGTCTTTTTAAAGACAAATTGCTTTGTATAGAAACCAGAGGCCTTTATAAAGACCAATTGGTCTGTATAGAGACCAGTGGTCTTTATAAAGATCTCTGGTATCTATACAGACCAATTGGTCTGTATAAAGACCAATTGGTCTGTATAAAGACCAATTGGTCTGTATAAAGACTAATTGGTCTGTATAGAGACCACAGGTCTTTATAAAGACCAATTGGCCTGTATAGAGACCAGAGGTATTTATAAACACCACTTGGTGTGTAAAGAGACCAGAGATCTTTATAAAGACCAATTGGTCTGTATAGAGATCAGAGGTCTTTATAAACACCATTTGGTGTGTACAGAGACCAGAGATCTTTATAAAGACCAATTGGTCTTTATAGAGACCAGAGGTCTTTATAAAGACCAATTGGTGTGTATAGAGACCAGAGGTCTTTATAAAGACCAATTTAAAAAGACCTATTGTTCGCTATATGGAGCAGATGTCTTTATAAAGTCCAATTGGTCTGTATAGAGATCTGAGGTCATTTTAGAGGTCTATATAAAAACCAATTGGTGTGTATAGATACCTCAGATCGTTATAACGGTCAATTGGTCTGTATTTCACTTTACAATAAAACTACACAACTTTCGTGTTTTTTTCTTTTTCCAAGTGTTTTATTCACTTATCACTTTATTTGAAACCATTTATTTTCATTATTGTACATTAAATATATAGGTATGTGTAAATATTTTTTTTTTTTTTTTGTTTAAGACATTTTTCAAAATGTTCAATACACCTATTTGTAATTTTAAAAATACCTATTTTTTGTATATATATATTATATATTATTCAATACATTATTATATTCAATACATTATTATAAATATTTATTTGTATATTATTTTTTCAAATACATATTTATTGTTTTCGTTTTTGTTGTTTGTTTCTGTTATAATAGGATCTCTGGTGTAAACATTTAAAAAACACTTATACACTAAAAATTAACATTTAATTGTTTTATAATAATAGTTCCCAAGTTTTTTTAGACACAGTCATAATTTTTATTTTGTATTTTGTTTTAAAACACCACAATAATTTAAATTTTTTATGTTAATAACATTAAGGTATACCAATTTGTAAACATTTATTGAGACATCTTTGAGATGAGGTATATTTTTATTTTTGTTTTTAATAAATAAAATTGCACAGATTTGGAATAAGACACCGAAATAATAATAAGAATAAACTAAACTCGAATTCAGTATCTGAATAGTATTTAACAATGAAAATCAAGTGATTTTTTATGTTATAATTCAAATTAAAAATTAATGAAATATTTCTAAAAAACATTGATTAAAAAATATTTTTTTATATATTTTAAACATTCCTAATATTTTTTTAATTATTTAATAAAATATCAAAAATCGCATTCCCACTTTTGTACTTTATACGTTACATACTAATAAAATATCGTTGATTTAATTAGTTTGTGTAGATGGTGCTGATGTAGCGCGAGTTATTTCATTTATCAAGAGAAGAAATAACGTCTCATGAAGTATAGCATAATTTTAGGCTGAAATGATTAATTGAGTGCATAGGAGAAAAATGTGGAATAATATAGTAAATTTGGATAGAAAATAAAAAAAGTTAAATTTTTGATCATAATTTTGAGAATATACTTAAACGATCATCAGCTCATATAAAAACAACCGATTCGAAGAAATTCCCAAAAAATCTCTTTAAGTGAAAATTAGCAAAAACAAAAAGGCCAGATCTTGACAACTTAATTTGGCCATTATAAATACCTGAGGACTCTACACAGACCGAGATGGTCCAAAAAGGACAAATTGGTCTTTATAAAGACCATAGGTCTGTATATAGGCCTGAGGTTTCTATACAGATAAATTAGTCTTTATAAAGACCTGTGATGTCTATACAGACCAATTGGTCTTTATAAAGACCTGAAGTGTCTATACCGACCAATTGGTCTTTATATTAAAACCTGAGGGTTCTATACAGATCAATTGGTTTTTATAAAGACCAGAGGTCTAAAGATCAGAGGACTTATAAAGACCTGAGGTCTCTATAAAGATCAGAGGTCTTATAAAGACATGAAGTAACTATACAGACCAATTGGTCATTATAAAGACCTGTGGGTCTATATACAGACCAATTGGTCTTTATAAAGATCTGTGGGTCTCTACACAGATCTATTGGTCTTTATAAAGACCATAGGTCTGTATATAGGCCTGAGGTCTCTATACAGATAAATTAGTCTTTATAAAGACCTGAAGTGTCTATACCGACCAATTGGTCTTTATATTAAAACCTGAGGTCTCTATACAGATCAATTGGTTTTTATAAAGACCAGAGGTCTAAAGATCAGAGGACTTATAAAGACCTGAGGTCTCTATTAAGATCAGAGGTCTTATAAAGACATGAAGTAACTATACAGACCAATTGGTCATTATAAAGACCTGTGGGTCTATATACAGACCAATTGGTCTTTATAAAGATCTGTGGGTCTCTACACAGATCTAGTGGTCTTTATAAAGACCTGAAGTCTGTATACGGAACAATTGGTCTTTATAGGATATAATTAAATATTGCATCCCAATTTCAAAAAAAATTAATTGGTTATAAAAATTCAAAAGGCGATAATTAAATTTTTTATGGTTAGTTTCGTTTTCCAAAAATAACAAATTTTAAAAGAATGAATTAATGGAAAAATAATCTATGTAGGAGTAGGATATAATTAAATATTGATTTATTAACTATAGAAATTTTCTGAACGTTTTTGCGTTTAAATTGGTTATAAAAATGGAAAAAAACGATAATTGAATTTTTTAAGGTTAATTTCAGTTTTGCCAAATTTCTCCCAAAATAACATATTTTAGAGGTGTGAAGTTAAGAGAAAAAAGAATCTATATCGAATTTCACTATGGGTCACCGAACATAATAAATCTGTATATGTATATGTTAATTACAGCTACACAATTTAGGTATATTAAATATGAAAATATTTTGTGTTATTTTTGAGGTTAGTGTTTAATTGTACCACAAGGCTCCGTTTTTTAAGAATGGTATTGAGGGGAACAATATTCTAAATAAAATTGTACTATGGGTCACTGAACAAAAGAAATCGCTATATATTGAATATTGCATTTAAGTGGGAAAAATTATAACATTTTTGAGGTAAGTTTTACGTTTTGTCGGTTTTTCCCCAATCCTCCATATTTAAAGAATGGTATTAAGGAGAAATATATATATATTGTATATTGCATAATAAACGGTACTATCAAATTGGTTATACAAGTGGGAAAAATGATAACCACATTTTTGAGGTTAGTTTTAGAATTTGTCCGATTTTGCACAAATTAATACATTTTGGAGGGACGAAGTCAAGGAGAAAAATATTCTATATCAAATTTTAGTATATGTCACGGAACATAAAAAAGTTGTATATAATATTTATCAATCAAATATATAATATAAATCATTCTGAACATTTTACAATTTCTTTAAATGATTTCCAATGTTAGTTAGTTTAATTTAGATGTATGAATGAGTTGTTGCTAAATATATATTCAGTACAGTATAAATTATTTCGAGTTCAATAATCTTCGCTTTCTTATATTATCTTCATTTCAAGTAAAAAAATAAAAATACAATAAGAAAAAAATAATTCTTTTGTTTTGAATTTTGTGGGTAGATTTATTTTTGAAAAATTGACTTGTGTATAACACAAACTATACAAAAAAATAATAATAAAATTAAATGTAATAATAATAATAAAAAAATAGGGATTTTTTTGTTCTGGTAATAGCTAACAATTTATGGATATCGATAATAATTATTACAATAATAATAAAAAAACATAAAAAATCATTTAACAGACAATCTATAGAAAATAAAAGATCTTGATAGTATTTTATTATTAAAAAAGTAAAGTTCTCCAGATAACCACAGTTTATATAAAAAAGACTAAACAAATTAAAAATAATAATTATAAAATTATTACAAAAAAATTATATATCAGACTGTATGTATGTATTTTTGTGGGTGTGTGTGTTTTGTTTGCAAATAGTTATTAAATGATATAACTGAGGAGCGTGTCAAAAACAAACTAAAGCTAGCCAAAATTTTCATTTATAAATAATAATTTAGTTTCATTGATTTTTTCTTATTACAAATAAACATTTTTTATTGCTGCTCCACTACCGCTTTTTTGGGGGGACAGCATTAAAAATTTGTTTTTTCGAGGTGCTTTTAAAGCAGGATTTTTTTGTTTATTATTTTTTTTTAATTTTCTTAAATAATATTCATCAGTTGCACATGTATGTTTAGGGTGTGTTTTTGTTTTTTTCTTTAAAGCTTTCAAAAATATTAATTTTTTGTAGGATTTTTTTTGTTTGTAAAAAATAAAATTTTTTATTTTTTAATTTTTTGTTTCGATTTTGTAAAATAGTTTTTTTTTATTGTTGTTGTTTTTTATTTTTTGTATGGCAGTCATTTTTTTCTTGTAATAGTAACACATATGAGATAATAATTTGACTTGAAACAGGCTTGTTTTTTTCCAACAATAATTACAACAAATATAGTTTTTTTTTGGTATATAACACCTGGACTGGAAAGTTGAGGTTCAAAGAATTGTTTTTTCAATTATATTTTTCCATTACGAAGATTTTAATATTTTAAAGAGTTGGACTGACTTTGTATCTCTTAGAGAAAGAAGTGAAGAGGCTGAATAATAAACATAGCAACAATTTTTCTTTAAAAAATGATTTACAAATAAAAAAGATATTTAAATGACTCTAAAATAAGACCTGTGAAAATTGTATTAAAGTTTCCTCAAGGAATGTTTTCAAAGAGAAAAATATTCAATAAATGTATTCACTAATGGTCATGGAACAAAAGATAACTCTGTAAATGTAAGTCAAATGAAACCAGCTGGTTATAAAGAAAATGAAAATAATTAAAATTTTAAGGTTACTTTTAGTTTTCCCCAATTTGACGCAGGATAACACATTTTAGAGAGTAGTTGTCAAGGTGAAAAATATTCTACATCGTATTTAACTATAGGGCAGGGAAGATAAGTAATATGTATTTATAATATTAATCATTCAAATAGATTTAAAAATCGGGTACTTTAAAAAAGCACATATTTTGTTATTTTTCTGAGGTTAATTTTCAAATGACCCTTATTTTCCCACAAGACAGCATATTTAAGAAATGGTGTCAAGAGTAAGTTATTCTATATAAAATTTCACAATTGGACAATAAACATATGAAATCTTTATATATAATATTTTTCATTTAAATATCAATATCAAATTGGTTATAAAAAGTGGGAAAGGTTTTTATCTTATTAATAGTCAAAAATTAAAATGTTTAAGGTTATTTTTTTTTGGTTAATTTTTGCCCGATTTCTCCATATTTAAAGCAATACATCAAATTTCAGTATTTTTTACTGAACCAATGAAAACTGTAAATAAAATACATTTCATTTATATAGTACTATCAAATTGCTTATAAAAAAGGAAAAGTCGCTAATTGCATTTGTTGAGGTTAGTTTTAGTTTTGCTCAATTTCTTTCAAAATAATACATTTTAGAAGGGCGAAGTCAAGGAGGCAAATATTCTACATCAAATTCTACTACAGGTCACCGAACATAAGAAATTTCTATATATAATATATTTCATATAAATAATGCTATTAATTGGTAATTAAAAAGGAAATGGTGAAATACATTTTTAAGGTTAATTTTAAGTTTTGATTGATTGCTCCCACAATTCTACATTTTAGAGTGGCGAAGTCAAGGAGAAAAATATTCTTTATCAAATTTCACTATTGGTCACTGAACATAAGAAATCGCTATATATTATATATTCCATTTAAACGTTACTATCAAATTGCTTATACAAGTGAGAAAAATAATAGTTACATTGGGTAAGGATAATTTCAGGTTATGATCGATTTCTCCCAAAATAAAATATTTTAGAAGGACGAAGTCAAGGGGAAAAGTATTCTACATTGAATTTCACTATAGGTCACTGAACAAAAAAACGCTATATATTATATATTACATTTAAACGGTACTATCAAATTGCTTGTACAAGTGGGAAAAATAATAGGTATATTGTGAAAGGATAATTTTAGGTTATGATTGATTTCTCCCAAAATAATATGTTTTAGAAGGACGAATTAAAGGAGAAAAATATTCTTTATGAAATTTCACTATAGGTCACTGAACGAAAGATATCGGTATATATTATATATTGCATTTAAACGGTACTATCAAATTGCTTATAAAAGTGGGAAAAATAATAATTACATTTTATGAGGTTAGTTTTTAATATTGACCGATTTCTCCTAAAATATTGCATTGCAGAGGGATGATGTCAAGGAGAAAAATTTTCTACATGAAATTTCGCTATAGGTCACTGAACAAAAGATATCGGTATATATAATAAATTGCATTAAAATAGTGCTATCAAATTGGTTAGAAAAGGAGAAAAACTATTTTTTCACATTCCCTTTACCTTTTCAGTCCATGTGTTATATTTTTTTATATAAATATTTTGGTGTATACATATATATGATTTTTTTATATATACATATAAATATATAAGTATAATATAAAAATTGTTAATAATATATATTGATAAAAATTTCAAAAAAGTTTGCCTTAAAAAATAATTTATGTATATATAAGGTTCTTTTTTTAATATAATTTAATATGTTTTTCTTTACAAAACATTAAGACAATTTTTTTGAACATTGACTTTTGAAAAAAATGTATTGAATTTTGTTATTTTTCATCGTATTTTTTTAATTTAAATTCAAATTTTTGTAAAACCAAATATTTTTTTTCTAATTTTTTTTCCAAATACTTTAGCTTATAAAAGAAAGAAATAAACTTAACACAGTTCTTAAAAATATTTAAAAACAAATAATAATTTTCTTGGTTCAATTTTTTGTATCCTTAAAATAACAATTTGTAGGTATATATAGTTTTATATTAAAATACATATAAAGGATTAATATTGGTCCATTGTTGGTTCATTGAATTATTTATGTATTTGTTTTTATGTTTTGTTAAATGGTACTCAGTTCTTTTTTGAATATCTGGGACTTAGTTTAAACTGCAATAAAATATAGAGAAAAAGAAAAATATTATTTTCAAAATCCGTTAACAAATTAGAATTCTCAAAATCCTTACCTTGATCGAATGTACTGGGATTTATATAGCTGAGTAAATCTTGATCAGACATAGCGGTCAATTCTTGTGGTATCGGCGCCAATGGAGCCACAGTGGCAGCTGCGGCTGCAGCCACTGCTGCTACTGCACCCACAGCAGCCGCTGTGGCTGGATGTAGATTTTGTGTAACAGCTGGAGCAGCTGTTTCTTGGGTAACCACTGCACCATTTGTGGTAATAGCTGCCGCTGTTACAGATTTTTGCATTGCATTTTCAGTAGCCAAGGCAACAATCAGAGATTCTTGGGGTGGGGTGGCACTGTAAAGGAGAAGAAGAAAAAGAAAACAATATGGTAAGTATGGGAAATAATAGATATAAAAAATGAATTTGATATATTCCCCGTTAGAAGAAAAATTAAATATAGAATCGAGCCCAAAATATTTCTTATAAGAATCAAAATTAAATATATAAGAAAAAATAAATGTACCCTAAAATGTCCGTCATCACCTATATTTTTCTTAATAATGCACTATTGAGGGGCAAATATTCAATATTCAAGAAAATTCTAAAGAATAGTATTTTGATTAGGCCAGTAAAAAAATGACAAAAGTGATTTCTCATTTTTAAGGTTAGTTTACAATTTCCCCGATTTGATCCATAATACTACAATTTAGAGAGCTTATGTCAAAGAAACAAATATTCTACATCGAATTTCATTATAGGTCACTGAACATAAGAAGCATATTTCTATAGCACAAATCGTTTAAAAAAGCTATTATTTTGGATATATATAAGCAAGAAGAAATTTATTGACATTTTTGAGATTGGTTTTCAAAATTACTTTTTTGGCCCAAATCACAATATTGTACAGGGATGGTCGTAAAGAAAAAAATATTCTATACCGAATTTCACTATAGGTCACTGAAGAAAGTATAACTATAAATATAATATATTTCATAAAAATAATAATAACAAATTGGTTATAAAAAGTGGACAAATTATCACTGCATTTTTCAAGGTTAGTTTTAGGTTTTCCCAATTTGCCCTTAAATACTACATTTTAGAGGGGTAATGTCAAGGGAACAAATATTCTACATCGAATTTTACTATGGGTCACTGAATATATTGAATCTGTATAAATAATAGAAATCGTTTAAATACAGCTACCAGTTTGGGTATATGTTAACAGGAATGAATGTATTGACTTTTTTGAGATTGACTTTCAAAATCCTTTATTTGAACCATTATACCTTACTTTACCGAAATGGTCTTAAAGAAAAATATATTCTAAATCAAATTTCACTATAGGTCACTGAACAAATTACAACTGTAAATATAATACATCTCAGAAAATCAATACAAACAAATTGGTTATAAAAATATTAAAAGTAAAAAAATATGGTTTCAAGGTTAGTTTTAGGTTTTCTCAATTTGCCTAATATAATACGTTTTAAAAAGGGGTAATGTCAAGGGTACAAATATTCTACATCGAATTTCACTATAGATCACTGAACACAAGTAGCTTCTACATATAATACAAATTGTTCAAATAAAGCTATAAACTTGGATATATGTAAGTAGGAAGAAGTAAATTTTTTCTGAGATAGGTTTAACAATACCTTTATTTGCCCATAATACTTTGCTGAATAGAAATGGTCTTAAGAAAAAATGTATTCTATATCAAATTCCACTATAGGTCACAGAACAAATTACAACCGTAAATATACATCTCCGACAAATAACACAAATAAATAAAAACAGGAAAAAATTATATTTTTTAGGTTAGTTTTCGTTTTTCGCAATTTGTCCCATAATAATACATTTTAGGGAGGAAAAGTTAAAGAGACAAAAATTCTATATTGAATTTCAGGATAGGTCACTGAACATTCGAAATCTGTATCTATTATATTCATCGTTCAAAAACAGGTACTAATTTGGGTATTTGTAAGAACAAAAATATATTTATTTTGTGAGGTTAGTTTGCAAATTTTATTAATTTGTTCTTTCATACTAGGTTTCACAGGAGTGGTTCCAAAGGGAAAAATATTCTATATAAAATTTCACTATAGGTCACTGAATATAAGAAATCTGTATATGTAGTATAAAACACTCCAATAGAGCTATCAAATTGGATATATTGGCAATCAAATGCGTATTTTTTAATTTTCCAAGGATAGTTTCTAAATATGCCTAATTTTTCGTACATTAATACATATTATGGGAATGGTCTCAAAGAGAAAAATATTCTACATCGAATTTCACTATAGGTCACCGAACAAACGAAACCGGTAGATGTAATATATCTCAAAGAAATAATAAGGAAACCTTGTCTATAAAAGTGGAAATAAAAAATAACACAATTTTTTGGGTTAGTTTTAGTTTTTCCCTTTTTGTACCAAAATAATACATTTTAGAGGGGTGAAGTCAAAGAGAAAAATATTGTACATAAAATTTCACTATTAGTTACTGAGCAGAAGTAATCTCCATATATGATAAGTCTCGTTAAAACGATTCTGCAAATTTGTTATAAAAAGTGAAAAATAAAAATTACATTTTTTAAGTTAGTTTTAGGTTTTCAAGATTTTTACCCAAAATGACACACTTTAGAATGGTGAAGTCAAAGAGAAAAATATTCCAAATCGAATTTCAGTATACATCATCAATTAAATATTACAATCAAATTAGATATTTAAAGAAAAAAGGCTTAGTTTTATAGTTTAAGGTTAGTTTTGAATTCTTCAGAATTTGTCCAACTGAACTGCATTATGGAAGTGTGGTCTTAAAGAAGGGAATATTCTAGACACAATTTTACTATAGGTCACGGAACAAAAGTAATATGTATATATAACACATATCCCTAAAATGCTACGTCAACAAGAAATAATGTCATTGTTTTTTTTTTTTTTAAATCTATTTGCCTTCTAGCAAAAATCTTCTTTGGAACCCTGCTCTTTCCGCCCTAGAAAATATTCAATTATAAACTAAAAATCATTTGAAATAACAACAACAACTACTACTTACATGGTCAATGGATATTGGGATGGTACAGTGTCAACCACAGTATTTGTGCCCGCAACGACACTGGCCTGTGTTGTATTATTTGTGGGTGCACCACCCACATCACCATGATTCAGGAGCAAATTTAATGGATTCATTGGATCTGTTGTTACATTTGGACTACTCAACAGCTGTTGTGATGATGTTTGGGATGAATGTTGCACGGAGGAACGACGATGGTGATGATGATGTTGTTGTAATTGATGTTGTTGCTGCTGATGATGTTGTTGCTGGTGTTGATGCTGATGTTGCTGCTGTTGTTGTTGCTGCTGCTGTTGATGTTGACTGTGATGCTGATGTTGTTGATTTTGTTGTTCCTGATTGGATATGAAATCTGCTGCAGCTTTAATGATCATATTACTCACCGCTGTCGAGGTGGCTGATGTTACCTCGGGTTGTAAGGCCGTTGGTGTTGGCGACACGGATACATTGCCACTATCACTGGGCGGCGTCATCATGATATTACTCAAAGCCAAGGCGGCAACAGCGGCATCTTGTTGTGTCGGTTGTGCCTGCATAGCAATGTCATTTAGTATGGAATTGGCCATGGTCACCTGATGTGGAGCCATGATGTTGGGCACCACCGCTGTGGCAGCACCATTATCCGAGCATAATATTGTGGAAGGGGAAACTGAGGGATTCATAATAATATCTGTGGGCAAACCGCCACCGGTAGCATTTGCCACATCCTGACTAACACCACTGACGCTGCTGGTCGATCCCGCTGTGGCTGCCGCCATTAGTTGGGGCAGTGGTTGCAAAGCTGCTGTTAATGCAACTGAGGGTTCTGAATTTAAGATGATGTCTTGTGTGAGGGGTGAATTGTGGCTGGCCATGGAATTTGCTGGTGAATTACCCGGCAATGGGGATCCAGATGTTGACGAGGATGTATTCGATGATGTTGAAAGACTACGTTCTAGAACTACAGCAGCAGCTGCTGCTGCCGCCGCTGCAGCAGCAGCAGGTTGATTAGATGTTACTGCAGCCTGCTGTAGAATATCGGTGAAGGCATTATCAATTGCACTTGTGTTGGGTACACCAAAAATAGATGGACCACTAACGGCTTCCGCGGGACCACTGACATTTGCCGACTTTGCCAAATCAGTTATGAATTTATCAACCTTTGCCACCGACACGGCTTTGGCTATTTCATTTTTCACCGCCATTTCTACGGCAGCTGCAACAGCAGCCACCTCCATGGGTGTGGTAGTTGTGGGGGCAGGTGGTACGGGGAATCCAGTCATGCTACTATTATCATACATCATGGCATCCATGCTGGCTTTACGGCCGTAACGATTACGGAATTGCAGGGCAGTTGGGCTTTGTGGTCCTGTGGTGCCATCACCCACAACACTTGCCGCCCCCGTTGTGGCAGCGACCACAGCTTGTGCAGCTGCTGCGGCACAGGCTACCACCGTTTCCGGAGAGCTGATCGCCTCCGCAATGGAATTCTGTGAAGATTCATCAAGTAATTCGGTTTTCAAAGCTTCCGCAGCGGCCACAGCATTCAGATGGGCCAATTGTTGATCGGTTATCATGGGCTGGGCATTGTTCAACGATGGACGGCGTACCACCATGGGCATTTGTGTGGTAATGGGTGGTGGCATCATATCAGCATCGATTTCATGTTTTGTTTCAGTTGCTGCTGGCCATAGACTATTGGCAGCTGCTGCAGTTACCGAGGCAGCCACGGCAGCTGCCGTTATGGCTGCGGGTGTTGTATCCATAAATGTGGTAGCATCTAAAAATAGATCACAAACAAAAATTATTAGTATCGTGTAGTGATGTACTGTCGAGTTTTGGTTTTTTCATTATGGATGGTATATAAAGTAAGAACAAATTCGATAATTATTTCAATTAGAACAGGGGATTAAACCTGCTTAGAGAATTGTAGTTTACTATTTAACTCTTTTTTGAATTGTTGTTGATTTAAATAAAGTTGAAAAAGCCTAGAAAATAAAGGGGGTATTTTTTAGTGTATGTTTTGTTTGGTTTTTATTATTATTTTTTCTAAGAGAGAAGAAAATTCTTAAAGGCTAATGAGTTCGATTTTTTTGGTTTTTGGGTGGTTGTAATTTAAAAAATATATTTTTCTCTGAGTTTACGATTTTTAAATTTTATTATTCATTTTTTTGGATTTATGCAATGTTGGTGATATAGACTAATCTACTTATATACTAGGTATTTTGATTTTTTTTTTTAATTTTTAACTACTTTGATGTTGTTGACTAATGGTTAAACATATTCCTCTCTCTTCAGTACCCGGCTTTTTATTGTTTAAATATGTTCAATTATTTTTATAAATTGTTGAGACTTTTTGGTTTTAGATATCTTCATATTATTATTATTATTAGATTAGGATGATGGCATCTGCCTCTTGGTAAATTCCAAACCAGTTTTTTAAATTGTAATAATATAAATAGGATATTTATATTGTTCTAAAGTTATGACAATGTTAATTTATAAAATTTGGACAATTTCTTTTTAAGCGATTTTAAATGTTGAATTTTCTTGTCCAATATTTGGATAAAATTATATTCCGAATGTTGTTTATATTATCCACCAGGGATTGCAACATTTTTTGAAATTATTAATTTCTTAAAATTCTTTAAATACATTTTTATTGTTCTTTTCAAATAAATGCTTTACTAAATTTTTGCTTTCAAATCATGGTCCCTAGTAAAGTTGTGATTGGGCATTTCCGATAATTTTTATATTTTTATGGTGTTTAAAATGGTGTTTATGCTTATTATCTTTTAGGTTTTTATAGGTTATTCATATATTAATTCCATTATGAATTGATCTCATCTCTCATCAAAGTAATTCAGCCATGCCAATTGGAAAAATCAATTTTAAAGAAAGGCCTTAAATCTTAATTATTTTTTTACTATCTAAACTTAAATACTTAATGCCTATATATAAACCGCACCATTATATAACAATAATACGAATAAAATATATAAAAAATTGCAATTAAAAAATATATTTAAATAAAAATGATTTTTTAATATATATGATTATGTGTGAAAATGACTAGGATGGAAAATATTGTGACTGAAGATGTGTTAACAGTTTGAAGACAAGGAAATAAATTGAAATCAAATGGAAGACAGAAGAGAATACTTCGAAATGAGCAAATAATTATTATTAGTAGGTTTTAATAAAATGAATTTTTGAAAACGAAAATCTTGATATGTATTATTAAATGTATTGAAGAAAGAAAAATAATGAAAGAAAACAAAACTTTTGAAATATTACTTTACCAAAAGTCGGACGCTTGTACGTAGACACATCACATGGGACCCACGATCGTGATATGGATATGGAAACAGAAAGCTTGTCCTAAATAGAAACTTAAGAAGTAACAAAATAAACAAATTTTGATTTAAGTGTATGAAAAATGATGATGATCATGACAATAATTGGGGAATGAAGAGAAATAGATTAAAAAAATAATTAATTAGTAGTGGAGACCGATAATATGAAACCATACACTGAAGTCAAATATATTTCTAAAAATAAAAATAACGATTTACGTAATACAAAAATTACGTCCTGAGAATTTGTATTTCATTTAAATATATAATAGTAGAAATATATAATCCTAAATTTGTTAAAATATAACATCGATATCTGAATTAAATCGGTCATACTTTTTTCGGAAAATTATATGCGCCCGGAAACGATTGAAAACTAGATGACGATTGAAAATAGAGGGCATTGCTTGATACGAAGATATATTTTGGGTCAAAAGGATTTCTAAACCAGTAAGGAAAGTAGTAAAATCGGACTGGGCCGACTATATAATACCCTTCACCACATTAGATATAACCTACATATGTCCCCTAACAGACTTTTTTCGAAAGAACACTGAAATGAAATTGAACGAACTTGAATATGCGATACGATTTTCACGAAATTTAGCATACATAATTCTAGACTTAATTCAGTACGCTGTGCCAAATTTCGTGCAAATCGAACGATATATAGGGACTTACATAAAATCGGACGAAAATATATATGAGAGCTATATCGAAATCTGAACCGATTTTCCCCAATTTCAATAGGGTTCATCCTTGGGCTAAACAAATGAGCTATGCCAAATTTTATCCAAATCGGATTATCAATGCGACCTGTACTACTTTGTTTACAATTTAACACCAACAGACGGACAGACGAACGGAGGGACGGACATGCATAAATCGACTCAGGAAGTGATTCTATGCATATTCTCAAAAGGAATCATGTGTCCTTTTACAAACATATGCACAAAGCCATAATACATATGCACAAAGCCATAATGTACCACAATGTGATGAAGGGTATAGAAATAAACCAGTGAGCGGAGCAGTATGGTTGGACGGGGCCAACCATATGATACCCTACACAACTTCCACGAAAATCTAACTTTGTGTGGTTCTATATTCTGAGCATGGGCATTATTTCGCAATATTTCCGCTCTCTAGTGTGGTAATGGTTTATTAAGTAATATCTGAATACGTAAGCACTTTTGAATATTTCAATTTAACCCGCTAAATTTTGATCGATCTTTATGAAAGCAGGCATGCTTATTCTTTGGTCCGATTCCCTTCTCCATGTAAAATCGCGACGTTCGGACCATAATTGCAGCCTCTAGAGCGACCAGAAAACCCGACAAAAATTAAATATTTGGTCCATTTCATCTCTAAATATTAACCGATCTTTACCAAAAACAATAGGGGTCTTTATTGGGCAGAACCCATTCTGGTCTCAATAAGATTTCCAGGATTGCAAATAAATCGAATCGAAGAATATTTTGAAACAAATTATAAAAAAACTGAAAATATTCGGGGAAGAGAGTGAGAATTATTGCAGGAAAGGGAATTTTGATTTTCACAAAATATAGACAAAAAGTTCTAGAATTTTTGAGGACTTACATATTTTGGATATCAGTTCGGAAATCTATTAAAATTTGTACAAAACATTAAAAAAAAAAATAAAACGGCCAAAATTAACCGCTGGGTAGACGTTGTTGTTGTTGTTGTAGCAGCCCATATTGCTTTTACACAATGGGCTAAGACTTCGACTGAGTAGAACTCGGGTCGTTTTGGATCGTAGACCCACCCCTCTGTCGTGGAAACGCCAGTTAGAAGTTGGCACTCCTGGTAACCCATTTTTAGTGAGCCAAATTTCTCGAATAAATAATTTATAAAGGGAACGGGTTTTTTGGTATTTTTTGTAGCATATTTTTAGGAGGCCGATACAGGGATAATCTTGAAAGTATTGAGTGTTTCATAAAAATAAGAACTAATAGTAATAATAGAGGTATTTTGTTAAATTAAAAATTATGTACTTCTTTCATTTTGAATAACAAAAATCTATTTTGATTTTGAATACAAAAAAAAATCTCCATCATAATCATCCTGTAATATTTTCCTGTTTTTTATTCCTAATTTTTCATCGATCATAAAGAATGGTGTAAGGTTTCAAACTCGGTCTGCTGTCTAAATTTGTAGTATTATTAATATTTTAAAATATGGATATGGAATTTGTTAGTTAGAGATGCAGTGACGAGACAGAAGAGTGACTTAAAAATCTGAATGCCATGAATTTGAAAGTGTTATTTTTCTAAATACTAAACGTATAATAATACTATATATATGTAATATTTGAATATTAATAAAAAATATATATATATTCATTAAAAATAAATATGAAAATGTGTTTAATTTTCTAAGAGTGTTTGTGTGGGGTGTGTGTATTTTTGTTTTTTAGTTTTTTTTATAACCAGTACCCTAATGTACAGATGCATCACAAGAAGAGTTGGTTGGAGGAGAACAGCTTCATATGTGGCCTGGAACGGGTTGGTTGTAGTAGTAGTAGTAGCATCAGCACACATACATACAACAATTTATACGGCTACATACTTAAGTGGTGATGATTGTGTTGTTGTTATCGGTTGGTAGGTAGGTGGTGAGTGATTGATTGAGCAGTGATATTACAAGGATCACATGATATAGCAGATGAGAGAATGCTCCAGCAAATGCGTTCACATATCATATGAATATCCTTATGTGTTTTTATCCTTCCATTGTATATGTATAGTCTTTCAATAAAATTTCAATAAAGCTCTCGCTCTTAATTCCTTTTTAATACATCGCTACGTTCATTTTCAAGTTAGTTACAGTTTCTAGAGTTTTTTTTATTATATTTTTTGGATTTTCTATTTATAGTAATTGTTTAAGTAAATGTCAATATCACGAACCTAAATTTGCTAAGAGAAAGGAAAATAAAGTAAAAAATAGTTGTTTTGAGATTAATGTTGCTTAAATAATATATCCGTGATGGGGTTTTTGTGGTTGGTATTTTTTTCTTGAGGGGAAAAAAGTGGTGGTGGTGGTTGTTGTTTCCTATGAAATTTTTGTTTTCATTGTTGTTGAGTTTCTATAACGTTTGAATAGATGTATTTTTTAATTGTACATATTTTTTCTAAATATATTATCCAATTAATTGATAAGCTTCTAATGTTGTAATCTTGAAAATATTAGCTGCCTATTCCTATAGGGGACTTATTTTTTGTATGATTATTTTATAGTTGTTTTTCCTTAAGTTTTGGAGGGGTTGTTTTGCATTCTTTTGTTTAAACTTTGCCAATTTTTTGTTGTTTTTTGTAATTTACCTAAAGATAAATTCGGTTTTTCTTGTTGACTTATAGCCTCAAAGCATTTTTAAAACATTTCAAAGTTCGCATTGGTATACATT